GCTTGGAGGGTTCATGTTGACAGTGTTCTTTTCCCCTCTCCAGGATCAACAATTCTGGCTTTAGAAATGAGGGGGAAAATAGTAATATTGGTTCAAGTCAAAACCAAAACCCTCTTCCTTTCTATGATTACTCATAGAAATAGTTGGGAAGTTGGTTTTCTGTTGCTTCAACAAGTGGTCTGGAGGACACACCTGCAATGTGGAGGGCCATTGACAGCCCTTGAAAAAGCTCCCTGTTTCCTCCCTTCCCCCTTTCCTGCAGAGACTCTGTTCAGAGGAGGATTTTTGTGACAAACTATGGGTTCACAAACACGGGGAATGGCTCCTCAACCAGGCCCTAGTCTCCTTGCTGCTGCGGTCACTGTGCTGGAACTCTCTGCCCAAGGAGGGCAGGGAGTGTCTGGGTCTCCGCTGTTTCCACACAACGGGCATTTCCATAACTGTTGTCACAAAGGCAGTTCATTACGGATTTTGACCCTTCCTGCATCCTCCGTCCCCTTACAACACGTGCATTCATCTCCCCGTATTACTGCTGAAAGAATACAAACTTCGTTTCTCTGTCGTCCGAGCATCATTCAGAAGCACCCGCCCATCTGTGAATCATTCCCTGACTCCGATCAGAGCAGTGTTACAGGTCCTCTGCTGGCAGGAGGCAGCAGTCCAACAAAGTCTGAAGACCCAGGACTTCTGTGCCAGGCAGACTGGGAAGCCACCAAACATTGCGAGCTGAATGGATGTCTTACTAAGCTTTTAGATGTGATCTGGCCAGTACTGGCAGAGGAAGCTCAAGGGGAGAAGGCAGCAAGCACTGTAACGTAAATCCCTGCAGACCCTTGGGCGTTACAGCCCTAGGAAGCTAATGATCTCTCCAGGAAAGAACTGACCGTGGTTTTCCAGCAACAGAACACGATGTAGAACGGGGAGGACAGACCCCCGGATGTGAGTACAATCTCTTAACACAGGGTTTGGACCAGTAGGAGCAAAGCGAGTTATCGTAACTGATGGTGCTTCCTAACCATTGGTTCCTGGGTGCCTGTGGACCGTCTCTGGGTGGGCTGTGTGTAATGCCTGGCTGGGACTTTTGTTTGCAGGTTTCTTCTAGAATATTTTGCCTGTTAGGAGACTGAATGCAGTGGCTTTGGGATACCGGTACCGGGGGACTTTTTTGTAAATCTTCAAGAAAACCTCATAGACCTTTCACTATAAAAAGAAAACCTATCGCATCACAGACTAAGCAGCTGTTTGGCCCTCTGGCATTTGTGATGAGAGACAAAAACACTGGCGAACTGGAGAGCAATGAAAATGGGGCAGTGGACTGGGAGGAAGGAGGGGAATCTTTCTTAGGAAGCTAAATCCCTTTCTGGATTCAGGATGCTCATTGCGTATTTATGATCATGCGTTTATTTCATTTCTGCTTAAAGAACTCGCAGCTTGTTTGCATTTTAAGGTTTTTCTCCTGTGAAAAATGCTGTGCAAGTGACAAAGAGGGATGTGATTGATAGACCTGGGGCAGAAATTCCTCACCTCCTGCAATGGGAAGTGTCTTGAATGACAGGTGATCTATTTGGAAGCGGAAGCTCAGATTGAATGAGGGAACGGAGCTGCTTGCAGCCTGGGTACCCAACAGGTTGGCAGTGAAGTTTAACTCCTTGTTTGCAGACTGGTCCTCTCCCCTCCCCACTCACTGCTGGGGGTTCAACAGCCTCTTTATTCTTCTCCCCAGCCCACTTCCTTCCGCCTGGTTTGATTTGTCAGTTCAGAGGTATCAGATGAGAATCCAAGTATCCCCTCTCTGCAAAAGGATGGGGATCATTGTTCTAGGTGGGAGGTAAGGATACAAAGATTTAGGGCAGTGATCATGAGAGAGGTGGAAAGGAACGTGAGCTGGGCCCTGCACCCCAACCCGAGGTGGAAGTCAGAAAGGAGGCAGAGGGACTTCCCTGGCGGTCCAGTGGTTAAGACTCCATGCTTCCATTGCAGGTGGCATGGGTTTGATCTCAGTTTGGGTCTGATCCTGGGTTGGGGAACTAAGATCCCATATGCTGCACGGCAGGGCCAAAAAAAAAAAAAAAGAAAAGAAAGAAAGAAAGGAGGCAGAAAAGAAGACTCAGCCGCTTTGATCCCTCCCTCCGCCCCCCTCTGCCGTGTGTAAATGAAAATGAAGGCGAATACTGGAGGTCCTACTAGTGAGGCTGCTGGGTTTAAACTGAGCATGAACTTGAGATACCCAAGCACACAGCGATGGTGCTAGCAGCAGACTAGGAACTGGAAACCTGGGATTCTGTTCCTGATTTTGCAGACAGTTTTCTGGGCATCTCTGGCGGTGGTGAGGTATCCAGAACGTCCTGCAGGCCGCTCTCTGCCTCGGGTGGGCTGTGCACTGGCTGTGGTGGAGGGTGTGGGATGGCTTGGGGGTGGGGAGCATTTTATTCTTAAGTAGCTGCCATTGAAATTTTAAAAAAAGAAAAACCAAAACGCTGACATTTCTGCTTGGCCAACATTTTCTCACAAATGTAGTGTTTCTGTCTCTTAAAAAAAAAAAAAAAGGAATAGTAATGTGTGCTGGGCTTGTAAAGGGCTGTTTACCAAGGGTAATCATGGGCTGTCTCAGTAGCTGGCAACCATGGCAATCAGTGCACCTTGGCTTTTGTCTCAGTGTCCCCGAGGCTGAATTTATGGCATGGGACGGAAGGGAGGGAGGGGAGCAACTGTCAGTGTAGACAGGCCGGTTAACCCATGCTTCCATTGCTGGGGAGGCCGGACAGCTTGCTGATGGGCTGCCTTGGGGTTGCAGCAAGAAGATCTCTATTCCCCAGGAGTTAAGCCGTGGAGGGAAATCGTGAAATTTTAGCCATGGTGATAATGTTTGTATGAACCGGGCCATTGTAATTGAGACACTCAAATGCCCGTTGCAGGAAAGGTTTGGGAAATAAATAACAAAAGAGTGAGTGCAGAAGAATGTGGCTGAGGGAGGGAGAGCCTTTAGGAAGCCAGGGCTCATTTTCTGGGTTTTCCTGCCATTTGGGCCTGGAGTGCTTTCGCAGGATTGGGGCAGACGGATCAGAAGCTCAGGGTAATTGGTTTGGACGTGCCGCAGGTTACCTGAATAAAGACAGCCGGTGTATCCTGTGTTTACGAAAACAAACCACTCCCCAACAGTAGAACATTCTGGGAAACATAAAGCCCAAACTACAGTCTTCCAGTGCGACCCTGGGAATTTCCAAAGGCTTTTCCAGCTCCATTTCTCTCTGTTTTGAGTCTCAACTTTATTCTTTCATTGGCGCATTCATTCAGCAAAGATTTGGGGTGCATCCCAGCGATCTCTGACCGTGGCTGCGGGAGGGGTCCCCTGCTTGTACCTTCTCCAGGTTTGTTGCGCTTCTGATGAGTCTGGTGATCAGAGCAGGGTGGGTTTGTGAGGGTTCCTCGTGTCTCTTTCCTTGTTATCTCTTTTTTTTTTTTTTTTTGGCCGTGGTGCGTGGCTTGCGCGATCTTAGTTCCCCGACCAGGGATTGAACCTGTGCCCTCGGCAGTGCAAGCGCGGAGTCCTAACCACTGGACCACCAGGGAAGTCCCTTTCCTTGCTCTTTTTTATCCACAATTTGGGCAACAGATGGACGACAGTGAGAAAATTTGATCATTTGCAAGCTGAGCAGGGAGAAGAATGACCTTTCAGAAGTTATACTACTCACATTTGGCCAATACTTTCACGTAATAAAATACCATCTTTAGTCCCTACCACAGTCCTGTTGTTCCGTCTGTTTTATACATGAACGTTTAACCCCAGCTGCCCGGAGCTGCTGGTGACACGAGCCACCTGGATGTCACGGTGATGCAGAGTCAGAGCAGGTACCGACCAGCCCTTTCTCAGTCACATCACAGCCAGTGAAAGGAGCATGGGGTTTGCCTGGAAACCGCTGTAAAGGACGTCTGTATCTTCTGGTCCTTCATAACTAAAATGGGTGGTAGGTCCTGGGATTCCTTGTGGTACAGCATTTTCTCTCCATCTGCAATATTGGTATTTTTAGCAAGTACATTTTAAAACAAAAAGAGGCCCACATTGCCTTGCCCTCCTAATAGGAATAGATCAGATTCTTAAACTTTCCTTCTTTGGCCCCCAAAACCCTTCACCTTTGGCATAATCCCAGTGGCTTTGGTTTGCTCTAATGGTGGTCCAGCGCTACTGGGAAGAGTCAGTCTTTAAAATTCTATCCATTTGGCCATTTGGTGGAAAGAGGGCTTGAGTTTACTGCTAGTTACTGCCCCCAGACCACAGCTCCGAGACAGGGCTTAGCATCCTGTCGCTGGTTTGAATTGCCCACTTACTTCCCTCTTGTTAAGCCCCTCCCTAGAGTAACTGTTTGTAGCATCAGTTTTGTTCCCAAGATGGGTTGTTCCAGCAGTTATTGGCTAGGAGATGGTCCGGGCCTGCTCCCAGCTCTCCACCTGTTGCAGATTTCTGGAACCTGCACCATTTACAATGGGAAAAGGATGAAGGAAGAGAAAGGCTGGAAATGCTGGGAGAAAGCCCCATGGGTGTGGCCCCCTCCTCAGGGTCTCTGTGGGGTGTGGTCCACAGGCACCTAACCGGCCAGGGGAATAGGCATGTTAGCCGTGGCGGGCCCACAAAATGCGGTCCAGAGGGCCCTGTGTGTTCCCACACAGTGTAGTTTCCTGCCGAGGGTGGGCCTGGAAACCAGTCTACATTCAGGGGATTGTGTCAGGCCGCTGCTACCTGGGTGGGAGACGCAGAGCAGACCTCGCCGTGGTCTGGAGTCTGCGGGGGTGGGGATGGGAGCGGGGTGTTTCCGTATACTCTCCGCCTTCCACGTGCAAGTTCAGGGTTTGCTCTGCAGAGGGTGCTTGCCGCCTGTCCTGTCTCCCCCAGCTCCCCTCCCCTGCACTGAGCAATCAGCAGATGCCCTAAAACCAGGGAGGAGCGGTGTGGCCTGTCCTGGGTGCTGAGTGGTGCTGACGGCAGCTTTGTTCTGTAACCCTAGGTCCCAAAGATGGCATAGTGATGAAGGCCCCTTCCAATGATCGGAACGTCTTTACCCGAGGGTGCCTGCCTGGGCCCGTGGCATTGCGTTGAGCCAAAGGAACTTGTCTGCCACTTCCCGGAAAACGTCTTTCTCTCCTAATTCATGAGCCAGCAGGATGCGGTCGCCGCGCTTTCAGAACGCCTGCTCATAGCTGCATACAAAGGCCAGGCGGAGAATGTGGTTCAGCTCATCAACAAGGGTGCCAAGGTAGCGGTTACCAAGGTAACAAGAGAATAAACACTTTAGCCATTCCCTGGGGAAAAGCCTGCCTCTTAAGCATTGTCCATAAAACTGTTGTGTTTCGTTCAGTTTTCAAAGAACTGGTTGGTTTTGTTTTTTGTTTCCAGTGCTGGAGGTTTGGGGAGAAAGAAGAAGGATTAAAAATGCTTTCGTTGCTATGTTTCAAATGGAGCCACTCGTAATTAGCATTTGACCCTCTTTAAAATCGCAGTGTGGATTTTTCTCACCTACTTCTTTAGCCAGATGGACAAGAACTCTCTCTGGAGAAATTGGGGCACAAGAACTTACTGGGTAGAGTGTGTGAGAATCACGTTAGGCTCCCTTGGGAGGCCTGTGGACGACGGGGCAGCCCAGACGCCATGCAGAACCTCACTGCTCCCATCTGGACAGTGATGGGCTTGGACCAGATGCCTCCCAATGACCTCTTTAGGCTGATTTCACGTGGGTCAGTGAGAATGTGTGGCAGGCTTTGGAGGGCATTGCTGACCCCTCACCAACAGATGACACCATGGTAGACGAGAGAATGCACAGGCCCAAGGGCAGTTTTATAGCAAAACTGAGGTAAGGCAGGCTCTGCCCAGTTAGGTGACAAGTGCAGATACATAGACGAAGTAATGCTGACGGCAAGCACTTAGTATTGCTCTAAGCACTTTATAGACCTCTAGAAGAGGTTCTTTTTTCATCCTCACTTTAGAGATGAGGAAACTGAGGCACAGAAAGATTGAAGTAATTTACTCAAGGGGCCCCCAGCTGCTGAGTGGCAAAACTGCAACTTGGACCCAGTTATGACTCCAGAGCCCCCCACTCCAGGCCACCCCAGAGAGAGCCATGGAGAGAGGCGAAGTTTCATTTTCAAATAGTAACATCTGTTGACCTCTGACCTCCTACGGCAAAGATTGGCCAGCTCACATTTTTGGTTAGTCACGTGCAGTCTGTGTATTTCCTGCTTCTGATGTGTGCTTTTTCCAGCACCACCAAGCAGTTAACTCAATTCTGGCAGTATCTGTCTGGAGATAGCATCAGCTCTCACAGGCTAAGGGCTCAGTCCCATAAGACTGCTTCAGACACCAGTCACAAGTCCAGGTTGTCACCTGTGCTTCTGACTGACTGGCTATAAATCAGAGGTTCCCACAACTCACTCCTTGGGTTGAATTAATTGGCTAAAGCAGCTCACAGAACTCAGGAAAGCATTTTACTTACCAGATTACCAGTTTATTATAAAAGGATATAACTTAGGAACAGGCAGATGGAAGAGATGCAGAGGGCAAGGTATGGGGAAAGGAGGCTGAGCTTCCATGCCTCTGAGCGCACCACCCTCCCAGCACCTCTGTGTGTTCACCAACCCAGAAGTTCCCTGAACTCTGTCCTCTGGGTTTTTACGGAGGCTTCATTACATAAACATTATTTACTAAATCATTGGCCATTGGTGATTGATTCAACCTCCAGCCTCTCTCCCCTCCCTGGAGGTCAGGGAAGTGTGACTGAAAGTTCCAACCTGTAATCACTGTTGGTTCCCTTGGCAACCAGCCCTCCATCCTTAGGGCTTTCCATAAGTTATCTTATTAATATAACCTCAGGTATGGTTGAAAGGAGTTTATTAGGAATAACACACTCCTTTCACCTTTATGGCTCTGGAGCTATTTCAGGAACAGATAGCAGAAGACCAACTATTATAACAAAAGATGCTCCCGTTGCTCTTATCACTCAGGAAATTCCAAGGAGCTGTGAGGAGCTGTGAGCCAGGAACGGAGATTAAGAGCAAATCTGTATTTCTTTTTTCTTTTAATTAATTTATTTTTTATTTATTTTATTTTTGGCCACGTTGGGTCTTCATTGCAGCCCGTGGGCTTTCTCTAGTTGCGGCGAGCAGGGGCTACTCTTCATTGTGGTGCATGGGCTTCTCATTGCGGTGGCTTCTCCTGTTGCAGAGCACGGGCTCTAGGCGCACGGGCTTCAGGAGTTGTGGCACGTGGGCTCTAGAGCACAGGTTCAGTAGTTGTGGCGCACAGGCTTAGTTGCTCCACGGCATGCGGGATCTTCCTGGACCAGGGCTCGAACCTGTGTCTCCTGTACTGGCAGGTGGATTCTTAACCACTGCGCTACCAGGGAAGCCCTGTATTTCTTATTATAAGTCACAGTATCACAATGCTGGTCTCTAGAGAGACTGAAAGTCTTTGGGTACTCAAAGTTCACTCATTAGCCTAACAGCACTCTGACCTAGGTGGTGACTAGGTTGTATGGAATCCAGGGTGAAGGGAACCTTGACTCAGGCCTCAGCATGATCTAACCACAGCTCTTCAGGACCCAGGCAGTCACACATGGGAGAAAGTAGTTAGGGCACATGTGCACACATTTTAACTTTGCTGTGTTTGCTAATTGTGCAGGTTGCTTAACTTCTTTGAGCCTCAGTTGCCTTATCTGTAAAATGGGGATAATAATACCAACCTTTCAGAATTGTTATCATAATAACTTATTAAAGCACTTAGCTCATAGTCTGCAAGTTCTTTTTTAAACAGTATCATTTGCTTTTTAAAAAACAGCTTTATTGAGGTATAACTTACATGCCAAAAAGCTTACCCATTTTAAGTGTGAAATTTGATAATTTTTAAAAAAGTATTTATTTATTTGGCTCCGCCAGGTCTTAGTTGCGGCGTGCAGGATCTAGTTCCTCGACCAGGGATCGAACCCAGGCCCCCTTCATTGGGAGCGTGGAGTCTTAACCACTGAAACACCAGGGAAGTCCCTGAAATATGATAATTTTTAATGCATTTACAGAGTTGTGCAACCAACACCATGTTCTAGTTTTAGTACATTTCTAATTTTAGAATCCCAGTAAGAAACTCCATACTTCTTAGCTCTCATTCCCCATTCCCATCCCCAGCTCCTGGCAACCATTGATCTACTTTCTGTTTCTACAAATTTCCCTTTTATGGACATTTTATATAAATAGAATCATACATTATGTGGTCTTTTGTGTCTGGGTATTTTCATTTAGCCTACTGTTTTCAAGGTTCATCTGTGTTGTAGCATGCATTTTCTTTTATTGCAGAATATTATTCCACTATATACATATATCACATTTTGTTTATCCAGTCATCAATTGATGGACATTTTGGGTTGTTTCTGGTTTAGAACTATTACGAATAATGCTGCTGTGAACATATTTGTTCTCATTTCTCTTGGGTAGACACCTTGGAGTGGAATTGCTGGGTCACATGGTAAATCTATGTTTAACGTTTTAAGGAACTGGCAAGCTATATTCCAGAGTATCTACCATTTTACATTCCCAACAGCAGTGTATGAAGCTTCCAGTCTCTGTGTCCTCACCAATGCTTGTTATTATTTTTTTTACATCACTTGCTTTTTAATAATTATCAAAGTAAAGCATGCACATAGAAGCTTTAAAAGAATAAGTTCAAATACCGTTAAGAAGGCTTTTAACAAAAACTCCAATCTGCTCCTCTGCAGAAAAAACTTTTAAATTTTTCAGATTTTTTTCCCCCCTGGCATTTATTTTAATATTTCTAATGAATATGCAAATACTACTAATTTGATTAATCAGTTCAATTTTTAATTTAAAAACAATTTAGGTATATTTTAATTTTTATGTTGCACATACCCATAAGTTAAAGCATCAGATATTTTTACTATGTTTGCCTTCCAGTTTTGATTCTCCGTAGGCAATTACTTTCAACTCTTTTGGTAGATTCTTTTTTTTTTTTTTTTTTTTTTGTTGCGGTACGCAGGCCTCTCACTGTTGTGGCCTCTCCCGTTGCGGAGCACAGGCTCCGGCCGCGCAGGCTCAGTGGCCATGGCTCACGGGCCCAGCCGCTCCGCGGCATGTGGGATCTTCCTGGACCGGGGTACGAACCCGTGTCCCCTGCATTGGCAGGCGGACTCTCAACCACTGCGCCACCAGGGAAGTCCGGTAGATTCTTTTAGTGCTTACATCCATAAAGATATCGTGATACTGCTAAATCTTGATTTTTTCCATTTTTGGCATTATCTGTTTAACGATATGAAAAGCGATGATTTAAGATTTAGCTTTCTTTCCCTCTCCTGCCCTCTCACACATACTTTCATAACAATGACCTCAGCATTTCATTTTTACATATTTTAACCAATTTATTCCAGTTATAGCTGAGCCCTGTGGTATGTACTATCATAACATTAACTTTTTTGCAATAATTTGTTTACCCTGATGTTTATAATTGTCTTATATTTGTTTCTTTAGTTTTGTCTCTTACTGTCACTAATCGTCCCCATCTGTGTAATCTCTGGTTGTGCAGAATGTTCGGTAGTCTCTCTATTGATTCTCCTTGAAGAGCTGTCCCCTGGAGCCCCTTCCCCTGCTTCGGTCTGCACTGGAAGCTCTCAGCCTCTGGCGGCTGTCTGAGGATCTGCCTTTACTCTTACCCTAGGGATTCCCCTTACCGCTTTTATATATGTTGACTTTGTATTTTCTGGGCCCCAGTGTCTTTCTCCTTCTTTGTTTTGTTGTGGTACACCCTCTAGTGCAGTGCTGTCTGAGAGAACTTTCTGTGGTGGTGAAATGTTCAGTATCTGTGCTGTCTAAACAGAGTAGCAACACATGGCTGTTGAGTACAGTTGAACAGAAGAGTTTGAACTGCGCGGGTCCACTTACACGTACATTTTTTTCAATAGTGAATACTATAGTACCATGTGGTCGGTGGTTTGTTGAATCTGCTGATTTGCAACCGCAGATACTGGGGAACCATGGGTATGGAGGACCTGGGAATATGAATATCAGTTATACTCGGATTTTTGACAGCGTGGAGGGTTGGCACCATTAACCCTCATGTTGTTCAAGGGTTGGCTGTACTTGAAATGTGGCTAGGATGACTGAGGAACTGAATTTTAAATTTAATTAATTAAGTTTAAATGCCATGTGCGGCTGGACTACCATATTGTTTGGTTTTTTTTAAGGCTCCACAAGTTGAAGTTACATTTAATTTGTTTAG